ACTATCTGCACTCTTTCAGGTTCGTTTCATCAAACCATTTTCGACTAGCAGGAGGTCCCATTGAGACCACAGCACCTTTAAACTTAAGTTTCTAGGTGATATTTCTTGCCAGGTTGGTCTATTCTGAGGCAGTTCTTGCATTAAGCTAGACATGGTCATCTGGATAAGGCATCTGCTGTAACTTCTCCAGCCATCTTGTCTTGCTACCTTTCCTTCTAATTGTTTCATGTGTAGAAGCCATTTGAGCCATACATGTTCTGTTCTAATGAGAAATTCTTATCCAAACAGACAGCAGGTAGTTATGGAAATGGTCAATCGCTCTGACTATTGATAACAGTTCCTTTCTCGTAACCCATTAATTTCTCTCGGTCTTGGTATGCACTCGATTGGACCCCTTCTTCTCTACCTTGTGCGATATCTGTGTTGGTCCCGTCTGTGTCTAAAATAATTTTTTTATGTACCCGAGGGCAGCCTAATATAGTACTGGAACATAGAGCTGCCTTCAGCCTCCCAAAAGCTATGTCAAAATCGGTGGTCCAATCAAAAATAGTTTTTCCTTCAGTAAGTTTATGCAACGGCGCTGCTACTTTAGCAAATCTTTCTCCTATCGTCTGTAGTATGTACAAAGCTCAAAGAAACTTTCGAGTTCATGCTTGTCCTGAGGTCGAGGCCATTAACGAATTTCTTGAATATTTCTTTCGTCCGGATATATTTCTTCGGGGAAAACTCGTGGTCAAGAAAATCAACGCGCTGTTGGAAGAGTGAACATTTCTTGTCATTTTATCGAAGGTTTGCCTAACAGATACAAGTAAATACTTCTTGTGAGTTTCGTAAGTGTTCATCAAAAGTTTTTCCCATCACTAACACATTATCCAGGTAGACAAGGCATACTTTCCACGTAAAAAGGCATTACCTTGAACTTATAAAGACCTCTGCCAGAGAGAACCCTGTCTCCTCGTTGTATTTTTCATCAATGTTCCCCTGCCAGTATCTGCTTTTTAAATCCTAGGTAGGAAACCAGTTTGAGTCTGTCAATGTCGTAAGGGTATCGTCAATTCTGGGTCTTTCTAGTGACATCTTTGGGCTTTCTGTAATCGACGCAAAATCTGGTAGATACATTTTTTTTTGTTCGCCATTTTTACCCTCCAAGGTCTCGTTGGGTACATTCAGGCAATGCCAGCGGCTAAGCTCAGCCACTCAGCAGGGACTTTATTCTTGAAACCGAGGAACAGCGCTCTCATGAGAACGATTGCTCTGTTATTGTCAGTGTTATGGAAATATGAATACGGACGACGAAGACAGAACTTTCGTTCTCATAAGAACGCTGCTCCCCTATTTCGAGAACAAAGTCTCTGCTTAGTGGTTGAATTTAGACGCTGGCACCGCCTGAATGTACCCGTTGTTCTCACAAATTAGCTCAGATGCTAAAAAAAGCTCACTTCTGACACCAAATTATCACTGATTCCAGGTTCACTAAAGTTCACTTCACAAACAGTAACAACTTTTATCAAACAAGACTATATATACTATATAAAATTCACTCATTACTTGTCGCAGTTCACACAACAAATCCCCAATTTAAACTAAGCTAGACTTTTACTACGCGCTATTTATAGTCGAAATAACACTTCGGATCTATCTAGAGAAACATCGAATCGAATATAATAGAATCCCCAGAAAAGGCGTACTTCCCAACGTAGACATAAGTATCTAATTTCTTAGAATTCTGGCCGGGCTATCGATGCATTTTCGTAAGAATATCATTGTTGATAATTTGCACCATCTGGTCTCGGAGTTCTGGTCAAGTACAGGACTGGAAACAATGTGATTGCAACAGATTAATTATTGATCTTTAATGAAAAATGTAAGAGTCCATATTCATCCGTGAGACTTGGGGACATCCTGCTGCTAAAAGAAAATTTCTTAGCCCTGGCGCAATAAAAGAAACAAAATATGTACATCGAGTTTACGAATTTGTCCGGCCCAATTAACAATATTTATTACCAGTGTTTCTCCGCAGTGGTACGACTGTCCGCTACATCAGGTAATTGCCGACAAATTCAAGTTATTTCTTTGGCGATTTATTTTTTTGGCGATGGTCGCTGCTGACACTCGGCGTAATAAATGGCGCTGGTTATATTCCCATAACTCGGTATAAATTATGCTCCATGGAATTGTCAAGTGACATTAACTGGTCATTTAATATTACGCTGTATACATTTTTTCGTTGCAAAGAAACTCAAGTAAAAACCGGAGTCGCGCTCTCGGTGGCAATTTATTGTTCCCGTTTCTTTTATCTCCTGTAAGAAGAAGCGACTCTTTTTTCAATAACGACAACATCTAACCCATTGTTGCGGTTTTTTCGTTTTTATTGCAGCATATGGCTTTGATTGAACAATTAAAAGAAGCCAGTGGCGTGTGCGATCATTACATTTCAAGTAAATCATTTTCTCATTCGGAAATATTTTTTGATCCTGATATATTATTTGATGTAAGTTGGTAGGTATTTCTGTTTCTATATGTCAAATGGAAAATATTTTGAGAAGTAATAGTATGAGAGGCAGCGACAGTTGAGTCGGTTCAAGGTAAATACATTATTCACATGTAGATATATACGATCTCATATACCTACCTAACTTTGACAATCGTTACCGTTGGTTTGTTGGTACTAGTAGTTGGTGTCCAAGATTTGTACGTTCTTCCATAGGAGGCCAGCTTCCTGGGTGGTAATGTGACCACCTGTTGGGGTGCTAGCCGTATTCCTTTAAGGTATTTCAGCCTTTAGCAGAAGTGAGCAGGGCGGGCACAGGGATAGTAAAGCAGCAAGATTATTATGACGCAGGACTTAGAGAAACTAAGTGAGCGATTAGGAGGTTACCAAGTGCCAAGTGGGTGAAAGCGTTACTTATCCACCAGTGACATTATATGATGTTAAGACAAATAGTGTCCAGACGACGGTTTGCCAAGTGTCGTGTGTCAGAATTTTTACTATAAATTTCAACTCATTGAAAGATTCCTAAAATTGAAAGAAGCATGACAATTTCTCGCCTCGATCCAAAAATATTCATTTTTACTCAATAACTGAAGTTTTTAACGTTAGGAATAATCCGCAGCTTGAATTCAATCTAGACCTCGTTCCACCAAATTGAATTGTGAATACTATTTTAAAAGCTCATTACACTTTTTATCAAAGCAATTAGTAAAACTAAATCTACTAATCTGTTGGTAGTTAACCAATTAATTAAGGAGATCATTTCCTTGAGTTTCATATGTTTTTGTAACGACTTGTAAATTAGTTCCAACTACCGTATTTCTTGCAACCGTAAACCTCAATATGTAGATTTACGGTTTTTGTTATTTTTATGCCCTAAAATCAACCTAAAATATCGTCTTGGTTTTATCGCCAATTTAACTGCCATGTAGGTTTAATGTTGTTTCCATTTGGTTCAATAACGTAGCGAAGCCGTTCACTTCCTGCTGTAAAACTTAACATATTTTGGCTTTATTTCGTCACAGGCAATCAAAAATAGCTCGATTCTTTATAAATGCATAGATATGGAGCAGAGCAAATCCGTTTTTGTAAATAATTTAAAAAAAAAGCTTTACAATCCGGTTTATTGGCACAAGTTGCGTCGGTAATTACTTCACACACGATGTTCAAGTAATTGTGGTCTGCGCAACAACGAAAACTGATTTATTATCCGATTCCTTCAATAATTTGTCCACACTTTCACATTTTGTTACCTGAATTCGACAAAAGATGATTTTGATTGCGGACAGGACTGTATTGAACGTCAATTCATCTACATAACATGAAGAATGAACCAAATATGCCATAGGTACCTAATAAACAATTTTTGTAATGTGATTAATTACATAACAAAATTCGAGTCATTACATTGCATAGATGAAAATGACTTTGCAGTGAAATAAAATAGACAATACAATCTATTATATGTGTATAGGCATAAGAATTTCTGCAGTTGAAATGCAATATGGTTTCAGAAAATATCAGGTTTATCTCTGGCGATATTAATTGACTTTAATCTATTTAAACGATCGATAATTGTATGGTTTTAATTAAAATTACTCCACACAATAGTTTACTTATATCTTTGCTTTAATCGATTTCCATTCGAATCGATACTTTGAACCTCCCACTTTTCATTAACCTTTGATCTGGCTTTCTCACTCAGCTCCAAGACAGGACAGATTTCAAGGTGAAGAAATGACTTACCCATTTTATATTAATTAGCATAATTGATTGTCGTAAATTGAATTAAAAGTTCTTCTTACACCATCTTGAAAAAAAATTTTGCATTGTATTTTTGTCCCAATTAGTTTTTCTTACTTTAAGATTGCTATTATTTCCGTAAACCAAATTAAATATATATTTTTTTTTTGTTAATCCTAGAATACTAATCCTCTAAAAACATACGTAGATACTAACATAGGTACGTAAAGTTTACGTGTTCCATGTTTTTAGGTAATGTAAAGTTTTACTAGGTGTGTCTGTAAGTACATATTGTGTGAGTATGTTTTAAGTTGTGTAGATACATGTAAGTATGTTTAAGTAGATTTGAGAAACAAAATCTCCTCAAAACTTTCATTCACACAGAATACAAAATAATAATTCCAGCCACTTGTATTTTGGAAATTTTGAGAAATAATCTTAATTTTTTTTGAATGAACAACACTCAGAACAAATTTGCGTTCATAATTTACCTAGACACTAAGCACTACATTTCCTCTCTAACTTTATATTTGAGAGTTTTAATTTTCAAAGAACATAACAGTATTACTTCTGAGAATACATTTTGAAAAAATACTCAGTCACATAATGAATCAGAATAGATGGTCTCATAGTCTTTCAAATAGGTTGGTCTTCTCGAAACTCTTGATGGACGCATGTTGTCGCAAACATCTGAGGGTTCAATGGCTTGAAATTCTTGAATGTCAGGGTTGCTCAAAATGTCCTATTTGAAGTTAATCATATTCAGCTAAGTCACTAACTGGAAGGTTGTCTGCATCTGTTGTGGTGCTTCAGGCTTCAGGTGCTGAGCTGAACGAGATATCGTCATCTGAGAAGGACTTCTTGAGGTTCATGCATATCTGGATCTTCACTAGTAGGTGGTGTTAGCGAACTTGCTTCAAGTATAGTAGCTTGCTCCTCTTTAGGACTAATCTTCCAGAATACTGTTTTCGGTGAGATGGTAGGAATGATAGGAGTAAACGTATTTTGTTTGAGAGTGTTTGACGGATGTTTGAGGACTTGACTAGGAATACTAAAATTGAATATTTTGAAAAACGACGCATTTCTTTTGACATATTTTCCTTCTCTCTCTGCCAAAATTTGAGTTCCAATAATTTGAGTTATTTTGTATGGTTTTGGGTCAAAAAACCTAGTTAGGCAGTTTGTCTTCAATAAAACTAGATCATTGATCTGAAAGTTGTGTATTCTTGTATGACTTTGTTGATCTGGATGTTCCTTTTATTTTTCTTATCAGTTTTTGCTATGTCTTCACGTTATGTCGTTCTCTATGTCTTTCTTGCTGTGTGTACATTAGTAATACGTTGTTGATTTCTCTGTTGAAAACCAGTTCAAATGGGGATTTCTCTGTGCGGGACTGCGGAGTACTTTTATGGTTTAACAAGAACTGATTGATTTGAGAATCAATCCTGCTGGATTCTAACTGTGCACAAATTAAAGACTTCTTGAAGGACTTCACAAATCTCTCTTCCATACCGTTCGCCTCTGGCCAGTATGGAGTGATTTCTATGTGTCTTATACCAAGATCAGATAAGAATATTTCAAATTCACTACCACAAAAAGGTGGACTATTGTCTCCTTTATGGACTTCGAAATTCAAAATGTGGAAAATATTTTCCCAAGTATTGGTTTCAGATTGTGAAAGCTTGTAGATGGAACAATTTCTGCTATCGAGAATTGAATGAATCTTCATCTACTTATATGAAGACATTTTACTTGTTGGGAAAAGGTCCAGCAAAATCTTTGTCAAGTTGCTGAAACGGTTGATCAGGTAATGCTGTTGATATTATAGGATCTCTCATCCTAGTGTTTGTAACTGCCTGACAAGCTGCACAACTTTTTACTAATTCTGTTAGCCTGTCAATATTTGGGAACCATACTTTTGAGCGGAGTAACTGCTTAGTCTTGACAATCCCTAAATGACCTTTATGTGCTGGTAAAATTATTCGAGTACCTCGTATGTTATCTATCACAATAAGTTCATCTTTTATTGTGCGGAATGGTGATAATTCATAATTCTTCCAGTTGTTTCCGTTATGTTTCATCGTGTCAATGAAAAAACTGAGTACTTTATCATGTTTAGTAGCTTGTTGCAGTACTTGTTCAATTATCATAGCTTTGGGTAATGAAGACTAGGATAAAATTAACATATGTTTCTATTCTGGTATCTTCGTGAGCTGAATTAAGTATGTGATGTCTTAATAAATAATCTGATGGGTTGGACTTGCCATCTTGCTGAACGACTTTGAACTGATAGGGCTGAATTCTTGATAGTAGTCTCTCTATTCGAGCACTGTTGTTTCCTAAGATTCTGACAAGAGGAAGATGATCAGTATGCGAAGTTACTGTTTTTTTGTATCCAGAGTTTGGCTATTTTAGTATCGATTGATAGCGTTGAGCATTTCGAAAGGTACCTATTAAGCTACATGCGATTCCATTTCCTTTTCAGTCCATTTACTCAAAAACAAACTGTACATGGAATCATTTTTGCGCAATGATAACTTTTAATCAGAATAACGAAATCTAACCATATTTCAAAAAATCAGCCAATTTGACAGAAAGGCCTTTTTCATAAGGTTTGTGCGGGTTCCTTTTGTTGGTTTATTGACATCATAATAGGATAATGTTGTTGCATTCATCAATTGTTCTTTCAAAAATTTGAATGTTTGATCATGTTCTGGTGTCCTGGTGTCCATTGCCAAATGGAATCTTTCAGTAATGGATCTCTGAGGATTTTGGTGTTATTAGCTAGGTTCGGTAAGAACTTTTGCCATATAGTTTATCATACCCAAAAGGCTTCGTACTTCTGTTGGGCTTTCTGGTGGTTTTAAATCTGCAATGCTTTTCATTTTATCTGGATCTGGTTGGCCTCCATTTCGTGAAAATATGTATCCAAAGAATTTTATCTTCGTTACACTAAATTCACATTTTTATCTGTTGCATTCTTTCAATTTCTGTAACACAGCTTCTAGATACTGGTTGTGATTTTCTACAGTGTTGCCAAATACTTAAATATCGTCACTACAATTCAAAACTCCAGGAATGTTTATTCAAATCTGTCTAATTGTATTTTGGAATATTTCAGCAGCAGCATTTATGCCAAAACTTAAACGTTTATATCTGTAGAGACCCACATGCGTTGAAAATGTTGTTATGTATCTGCTATCTTTGTTTAAAGTCAGCGGATGATATCCATCCTTTGGGTCGATTAGGCTAAATTGTGTTGCACCATTAAGCTGGGTAATGACGTCACTGATAGTGGGTGTTAGGTTTCTTTCACGTACTATTGCTCTGTTAGCTAACCTCACGTCACACCCTGAAGTGATATGGAATTCGCCTGTGTTTTTGCGCTATTGGTTTAACATTTTTGTCTATGTGTAGATGGACTTCAAAGTTTGAAAAATTTCCTACACCTGTGCATATCTCTGGGTATTTGTTCTTGACATATTCATTAATTAATTATTTAATTAATCATAATCGTTAATTTTTTCAAAAACATTGTTTGTCATCGTGTCTAAATTTGAGTGGCAAGGAGGTGTTGAAACTTAGAAGTGATCGACATTCTCCATTTACTACACGAATTACCTATTGCTTCTGGTTGTGTTATTTTTGTGGGATAATTATTGTGTTGTAGATTTTCCAAGAACTTCTATTTTCTGTTTTGCACAACACGAAAATATGTTGGTTGCATCTTTAGTCAAGTCATGTTTGATTGGTAGTGTTAAAAATAATGCTTTGCTTATCAAGTTGACTGATGATCCCGTATGTATTACAAATCTAAAGATCGATTATCGATGTTGATATTGACTACAGGTACATTTCTAATGGTATTACCTGTTATGCAGAATGACTGATTTTAACTACTCTCATCAGTGTCTTTTTCAGGAGCATTGTTCTCTCTGTTGTTGTTTTTGTTATTGTTATAATTCCTGTGATTGTTATTGTCTTGTTGACTATTGCGTGATGTGGATGGCTCTACTTGTGAATGATTGTTGGAACTTCTGTTTGACTATACATACCTTCTGAAAGTGCCCTGTTTATCTACAAAAATGACAGGTTACGTTGATGGCTGGACAGTCTTGTTTACCTCCTATGTGCCACTAATTACCACAATTTCTACATGTTCTGTTGTTTGTGTTAGGTCGAGAGTTCGTGTTGCCAAATCTTGTTTGTTCAATTTTTTTTGGTTTATGCTAGAATCAACTTCAGGTTGTTTCGACATTTCCATTTGTTGGGCTTGAGTTTCAGTCAACTCGTAAGCTTTTGCTTGAGCTAAGAGTTGCTTTAGTGAGGGATTTTCAGCAAGACCATACTTTCTCAACCTAACAGATGTGGTACACTGGATTATTTGGGACTTAATTTCTCTATTTTTAACTTGGAAACCACAGTTTGTATCTAATTTCAGTAAACAAGCATAATACTTTTCAATGATCTCTGATTTGTTTTGTTAAGCCTGCCTAAACTACAGGTTTCAAACTATAGACTGTTACAAAATCTAGTCACTACACCAGTAACCTAGAGTAACGAAAAGCCGTGTTAAATATACCTTATACCAATCAGCCGCTACCTGGAATATCTTCAGGGTGTGTTTGGAGACGACGAGTCACAGTATGCGGACTGTCGATGGCAGGGAGTTGAAAAAGCGAGCCATGTACAGCCAGACCAACAACAGAAAAACCAGGAAATAGCGAAATCAAAACAACAACCACAACAGCTGTGCAGAAACATAAAATGCTACAGTTTCTAAGGCAACGTGTAACGATACTTTCACAAAAGGAGCTATAGAAAAGCAGATCTAACCAAATATCGATTAATTAGTTGTTTACCTTACCCTTTAAAAAGTGACCATAGCATATCTATCCACAATGTGAACAAAACAACTGAATCGTCGTAGGTACATTGATGAACATTCCCATCAGCAGATCTGCAACGGATAATTTCCGTTGCGGATTGAGTTATCAAGACTCCCTCTGGCAGACCAGGAAAGGGTCTTCATGGAGCTTAATCCTTTTGCTATAGTAAATGTTTTCCGTAGAGAAAGAACGAATGCCATTTGGCTGAGTCCTGAGTCAGGCTACTAGACATATAGGCTTCTATGGGACTAGTTGACTGATGCTGATATTACCCATGTAACTGCATGCTGAGCTGGAAAATTCGTCAATTTTCGTCAGCTCCACTATACTCGGCTTTGGCAGCTCCGCTATACTCGGCTTTGGCAGCACCGCCTTGATTCGCTGGGACCGGGAACAAGCTAATTCATCCTATTAGTCCCTATGTGCCTAGTAGGTTGGTCCGGCCTGTATATTGACAATTAAGCCCCTATTGGAAAGTATGCGAATAAGGTAATCCACCAAAATATTGACATTGTAACGTGCCAAAATTGCCTTACAATTGACATGACATTATGTTGGCAATACAATGTAAAATTGTCAATGCTTTCAAATTTTTTATGTAGAAAAGGCTTGTGTTGCCAATATAGTTACTAAGTTTTTGACTTGGGGAATTAGGTATCTTAAAAAAAAAACAGACTTTATAGGAATTTTAAATGGAAAACTAAAAACAAGTGTAAAATGTTAAAGGCAATTTTGGTACGTTACATGGTTTGGTCTGTATATTCACAACTGAGCCCCTTAATGAAAGGCACGTGAATAAGGTAATCCGCCAAAATATTGACATAAAGGCATCGGTCAAACTACTGACTTTGCTCAGAAAAACAGACGACTTTCAAAAAAGAAATAAACTGTAAGTGTTTCAAAATATGATATTCCGTAGTAGAACAGGATTTTCAGAATTCAATGCAAATGCGAATCGACACTCGGAGTAAGGTCAA